GCATTTGTTTTCTGTCGTTTTGCTCCGCTGCAGAAACTGCCGTGTGAACGCAAGTGGAGCTGCACCGACGCTGCCCCGGTGGTGCCACGCTCAGCGGCGTTGTACGTGTAAACGCTCCACAAAATTTGCTCCGGTGTAAACTATATCGCAACAAAATACATCGGTGCAGCGCCGGATCAAATGTGTGCCGTGTGAACACCCCTATTGACATCTCTCGGGTTCATCGAGGCACGAGGTGCATTCAAATACAGGCGGAAATTTCAAATGCCAATACTGTACCTACAAATATGTAAATCAGGGGTTCCCAACCAGTCCATCACAGTTGACTTGGTAGTCCGCAGACCGGTTGACCGCAAGGAGGATAGGGGGACATGGGGGAGTTAAAGAAAAAAAAAAATTGTGTCTGTGTGCGTGTTATTCATATTATATATTTTTGCGTTAGTGTACACCACACCCTAAGCATCCTGTCAGTTTAACTTTCACAAAAAGAGTTGAAAAAAAATGAAATTAAAAAAGTAGGTCATCTTTAACCATGGTAGCGCACAACCTGTATCACTAGAAGTTGTTAGCGGTCTGTAGCCTGCAATTGCAGCTAGCAATCAGAGCCGCGGAGATTTACTCTTTTATTTATTTATTCTAATTCAAATTTAGTTTGATCTGCAATTCACCGATGGCATGGGAATCTGGGGCGCCAGGAGAATAATTTTAAAACAGTATACGGAGCTACGATTGTGATGTTTCTATACTTAACACGCTACTACAGTGCGTCACTGCCTCCGTTGCCCCGCCTCCTACAAAGGTAGGCAGTAATTTCCTTTTCACAAACTCTTGCATGTACTTTATTTTTCTGTTTTGTCCATGTCGTGGTCCGTTACAGCTGTTGTCATAGTGGAGTGTGTGTGTGTGTGTGTGTGTGTGTGTGTGTGTGTGTGTGTGTGTTTTTACATGCGTACGTGCATTTGTGCACATATGTGTGTATGCGCGCACGTGCGGTAATGGGTCGATTGCAGGAGGTTGGCTCCTTGAAAAGTAGATGGTGACATATCAAGAAGAATGATGGGGTAAATCACTATTTCATTTAATTACAATTGATGGTGCATCTAGCCACTTATGTTACAATATGTAATCAAATCACTCGACTTCCACCCTTGATTCTGGTTGGGATGTCAAACATACAATTATCAATTAATACTCCCCAAAGGCTTTTGGTGCCCTAAGTCTAGAGTAAAGTCCTGGATATAAAGAAAACTATCAGTAGAGTGTGTAAAAAAATTTAAAAAGTATATATATATATTTTTTTTGCGTTCAATTGCTATAAAGTGTTAATATATATATATATATATATATATATTTTTTTTTGCGTTCAATTGCTATAAAGTGTTACTTTTTAATGTTATCAAAAGCATTGTGATTAGTATCCTTATAGTATTTTGTTGAAATTATGTACAAATATTTTAAAGTTGTTTAGTTGTCAGCTATCATTTAATTGTTTGTTACTGATAATTTAAGTTACCAGTAAGCGCCGAAGACACATGGGGGTGGGGGCGGTGAATAAAATTAAAATATTGCAAAAAAATATAGATAAAAATACTGTCTGTGCTGAGACATTATCAATAATGGCAGCACAAAGCATGCCTGGAATGAACAAGACTGTTTGCTGTAATCTCATATTTTGTGCATTTTGTGCAAATATCTGCCAAGCCGATCCAGCTCCAATCTTGAATCCCTCAGGGGGAAATCACATTCCATCAAATCAACCATGTGCGTCTCACGACACAAATGAGTTTCATTCAGTCACAGCAAAATTAACCTGAAGTGAATAGGACTGCGTTGCCCAACAAAGAGCCATCTACACTTGATATTACCAAGTAGATTTGACAAGCCAGCCGTTTTCACCAATCGGGTCAGCTATGAACGTCATGTCTGGATAGTGCATGTATTTTTAGAAGCTTTCAGCAGCTGTTCGCGCATGCGTCCTGGTTTGGCTTGTTGACCTTGGAAACTTATCAGCTGCCACCAGGAAACATGTCATTGTTTAATTCAAAGCCTTTTAAAGGTCCACAAGGGGATTTTTTTTTGTTCCCCACATAGACATGTCCAATGGGAAACGATCATTATGGCCTTCATTCTTCCCAGGGTTATGGGTCATGGAAGATTCAGCTATACAGAGTCCATCTTTCTTTGATAGCAGCTGTATCGGATGGTTTGCCACAATTCAACATTTGTTCCAACAGCTGCCAAACATAGCAGAAGTTCCTATTGGATAAGAAAAAAAACCACAGGGTTAAGGCTCATAGAAGATTCAGCTATACAGTGTCATCTTTCTTTGATAGCAGCTGGATCTATTGGTTGGTCACAATTCAACATTTGTTCCAACAAGTGCACAAGCGAGCAGAAGTTCCTATTGGCTAAGAAAAAATATCCGCCCATTTTCTGATCCACTTATCCTCACAAGGATCGCGGGGGTGCTGGAACCTATCCCAGCTGTCTTCTGGCAGTAGGCGGGGGACACTCTGAACCGGTTGCCAGCCAATCGCAGGGCACACAGACGAACAACCATCTGTGCTCACACTCACACCTAGGGACAATTTAGAGTGTCCCATTCAACTGCCACACTTGTTTTGGGAATGTGGGAGGAAACCGGAGTACCCGGAAAAAACCCATGCAGGCACCGGGAGAACATGCAAACTCCAAACAGGAACCCTGCATCTCTGCACTGTGAGGCCAACGTGCTAACCAGTCGACCGCCAGGCCGCCCTCAGAAAAAATTCTTTGCCCTGTCGTCTGTCAACAACATTGAAACATGGCGGCGGCCGCAATCTCCGACGACAGTTTAAAAGGCGTTTTCT